AAAAATACTAAGCAACTAAAAACTCGTGCAAAATGGAAGAAAATTTCACCTTGAGTTGCCGAAGCCCTCCCTGGCGAGCAAGCACGGCCTCCAGGCTGCGGAGAAGGAATCGGAGGAATCCATGGCGGGCGACACACCATGAGAGCCGAGCCACGCCCTGATTGTGGCCTGCGGAGCAGTGATCCTGGGAAGCCGCATCACAAAGTCATTCTACTGTCGCCCTCGATTTTGAGTGTCGCCCTACCCTACCTACCCAAGTCTCGGGATTTCTTATGTCTATACAGTCAATTCTGGAAGAATTTTCATCTCTCTCTTTTTCTTACATTTGTGCGAATGCCATGAAAAATCAAAAACATTATTAAATTAAAGGCAAACACCAAATATGGTTCTTGTAAACCAAATATGGCCTCTTTGTATTGTATACATAATCAACTCTTGTCGTCACTCTCATTAGTAGAACGATGCCACCACACCCGGGATTACCAGACGTTCTTTGGTTTTATATCTTGTCCAAGCTGCTGGATGTTGAATCACTGGTTCGAGCATCCCTTGTTTGCAGGGAATGGAATGGGTTTGTTCGTAGAGAGGGCAACGATATCAAGCAAAGGTGTAATTCTCCACTCTTGTTTCTTCAAGTGGAACTTCGAAGGCTGGCGTGCTTCAACCCTAAAAGTGGCCAGCTCTACGATCCCAACACCTTTTTTCTGCCACCTGAGGTATCAGTTTCACTATCAAGCATTCCAGTCGCTAGCTCAAATGGTTGGGTGTTGTGGAGGTATTACACAAAGGAAGATATGGTCTCTTTGGTGATAAACAATCCCTTGGTACGATCCAGCTCAGTGACGCTGCCACACTGCCATGACGTTTTGACGGAGGATTGGATTGAACCTGAGAACTTCGCCGTGCTTGCGGCCAAGGACGGCAGCAGCTTTTGCATATCTTTTGTCGTCTTTGGTACCATTTATGCGTATGCTTATACTGCGGGTGGTCATGATCATGATCAGAACGAGTGGAGAACGGTCGGGAATGGAAGATACAGGGGACATAGGGTTGCATGGACTGATTTTGAGCACTGCCACATCTTAGGGGAAAGCGGCCACTGGGTTTACAAGCCTCAAAATGATGAATGTGTGCTTGTGGGGAAGTTGGAAAGCTTGGAGGACTACAAGTATGGTGCTTTTGGATTAGTCTCGTTGAGAGGAGAGCTCGTCACCGTGAGATTCATGAACGGGCCCATGCGTTTATCACTGGTAAAACGTGTTGACGGGTTTGTAAAAGAGGAGGAAAAATGGGTTTGTGCTGAAATTGTCCCGTATAGGAGAAAGAAAGTGTTTATTTGCTCGGATAATGAGTTCCACCATGTTCCATGGAATCAAACGGTGCTTGATTTGAAGACTGGAGTGTGGAAGGTTGAAAAGCTTGTGACGCCAGTCAAGTTTAAATGGTGCCCTCTAATGAAAGAAACCGATGAAGCTCAGCCATGGCCGAAAGATTGGCCCATGTCACACACATTAGCATTTGTTCCAAATCCAAAAATCTAAAGAAGCTATAGTTTGTGTTCAGAGAAAGAGTTTAGGGTTGTTTTTTGTGAGAGAGCGTGGGTGCAGGAGAAGCGAGTTTTCGTGCTCGATAAAATGGAGCTCGACGGGTCACGGCATAGCGGGCCTCCACCCGTGTTGGCGGCGAGGTCGAGCTGGCGGAGGGTGGGGATGAAAGCGGCCTCAGTGCCGTGGAGAAGTTCCTCCAAGTCTCGCTTGAGCTGGATCGCTCCGCCCATTGGAATGTTGTGTGCCATCCTCACTGCAGAGAAAAAACGAAACAGAGAGAGAGACGAGAAGGAGAATCTAGAAAAAGAAAAACACACTCACCTTGTGGAGAGAAGAGAGAAGAAACAGCGAGCTGTAGCGGATTTTATAAAGCAGAAGAGGTTGGCCATTGACCTTTGAATCTCTTTGACTTAGATCTTTGAATATCTTTGACTTTTGGATTTTTGACAGCTAAAGCATCATACAAATCTTAGACTTTGAATTCTGTTAGAGAATGTTTGAGTGTTGACCCTTAATGAATAGATTCTTAGCTTAAGGCACTCTTCATGACGTCCACTAATCATGTGTTTAATAGAGAAAGAATATTGTTAAAATTCTATCCCTTACACCGGGTGATCACTTAATTGCAGGGCCCTTTCTTTATTTTATTATCCTGACTTAGTGCCTAACAATCCTCCCTTTGTCAGGGAATGATCATCCGCAATTATATTTAGGTTATATTTAAGTCAATTACAAGAATCGAATTAAGTTTTGATACCAATGTTAGGATCCTATCCCTTACACCCTAAACCAGCTAGCTAAAAAAGTATTACAGGGCTTTTTCTTTATCCTATTATCCTGACCTAGTGCCTAACAAATACTGAAATTAACTGCTCTTTGCCATGGTTGCTTTTGAGCCCTTTGAGGATTTCATACAATTACTTGGGAACTACGGCACTGCCTAGTTCTTCTTGAGACGTCTTGCTCACAAGAGTGTTGCTCGTCACATGGATCAAATATATATATAGTTTACTTACTTCAAGCTTACTTGAGGAATGCCTTAGCTTAATCTTTCTTAATCATCAATTATGTACATTTTAAATACTTTTCCTGATAGTTTGTATTTGGATTTCCTGATCTGCCAGTAACAAAAAAAAATGCCCTGTATTAAGTTTTTCTTTGCCCGTATCAAAGTCAAAGTCACTGAAATCTTTACGGGATCACGTCAAAGTCCAAGCAGTCCTCAGTCAAAAGTCAATATCCTGCTCTATAAAATGGCCAGCTGGGGCGTCTCGGCTCTTCAGCGGCTCGCTAACGTCTCGGCTCTTGTCTGCGCGGCTCTCTAACGTGAGTGCTTCTCTTCTACTCCCTCATCTCTCATCTCTTCCGTCTCTCTCCCTCTCGTTTCTCTTTCTTTTCCAGGATGGCGGCAGAGGCGATGCGCAATGTTCTGGCGATCAAAGGAGAGCTCCAGCGAATCGCCCGTGTGACTGAAGACGCCATCGGGGACACGCTCACTGGCTTCCACCTGGACGAATTCAAGGCGGGCATCACCGAAGCTGTCCACGGCAACCAGGGGCTTCGTGCTATGGGGGAAATCGGGAAGCGCAAAGCAACAAAACTGCAGAAGATCGGAGAAAAGTTCGAGCGTGCTGTTCTGGATGCCGAAAAGGCTCTGCGTGAGCTTGTTGTAGATTTCTAGGTGAATCTTGTGTGTCGTCGGTGCCGCATTGTCAAAGTTCTATTCTACGCAATTTGATTCGTTCTCAGCAATTTGTTCTCGGCCATCTTTTCTCCAATGCATTCATCTTCACGGCTTGCATCCAATCCTTGAGAGTGAACAGCCATGCCTTTCTCCAGTGCATTCATCTTCACGGCCTCTCCTTGCCGCCAAGCTCGTGCAAACTTCAAGTGACACAAAGGAAAAAATCGAACCGAGGAAACACCAAACCACCAAACTCTTACCTGTGCCGCTCACTCTCCTCTTCCGATTGTCACGTACTTGGGCATACCACCTGGAAGTTTGCGAAACTTAAAAAAAAGAGCTTACCTTCAAAAGAATGATGCAATCTAGATCCATTATAGTCCTGCCAAACACCGGAAACGCAAATTGTACGTAGAGATCAAACAATCGTAAACCATACCGGAACGTCTGACAGAGTTCAATCTTGCCGAATATCCTGCAAAACAAAAGTGTAATTGCCTTGACACTGTCGAACTTGACTTGCTTGCTAAGGGTGACCTCTGTCTTCAAACGTTTCCTGGCAGAAAGAATTACGTGGTTAGACGCACTGGGACCAGCTCTAGAGACTGCTTACTTTCTGGGGCTCGTCTCGTTAATTCCTCAGCCACCTCACCAGATCGATTGCCTCCTCCGGTTCTTCGATCTAAAGCGGGAGTAAACGAAGTAAGAAAGAAAAAAAAAGTGTTGTTTACCTGTGCAGAAGTCACGTTGAAACGTCCATCTGAAGCCATTGGTCTTGTTCTCTTGCGCTTCCAAACTCTGTAGCTAGACCCGCCTGTGTATGGTCGACAAGTAGCAGAAGAAGAAGACATAACCTGCCGGTCGCTCAGAAGCGCAAGAAAGCGTTCAAACTCGTTTTCTTGATGAATTGCCTGCCAATGGAGCTTGTCAAGTTAGACGACAATCACCACAATGGAGTAAACGGCGCTTACAAGAGCTTGGACAAGCTGACGAACACCTCGCTACTCGTTGTCACTTCTCAACTCGACTAAACATTACTTGATTCGAACCTGTAGCCTCATTTTACTGTTTTTCGGCACATCCCTGGGCTTGAATCTTTGTTCCAAAGGATAAGTTTTTACTTATTTATTTCAAGGAACTCTTACCTCTTCCAGACCTCGTCAAGCCTCTCTTCAATATACTGCACAACGTCGGTGATCTGTTTCTGCCAAGTCTTTGCACGACACATCAAATAAGACAGAAACTTCCGACGTCGACTTAGAGCTCACCTGTGTCCCGCATAATCCCGAGACTCTTCGTACACCACCGATGTCCTTAAGACGATCAAGACTGACGCAATCTGAGACATAGATGCTGTTCAGAAATGCCACGAAAAGATGAATAAACTATAGAAAAAGAGACAGACATTCAACATCACCTGGAACTGGAACTGACTTTAGCCGCCGCCACACCAGCTCACAGCAGTAATCGGCACCTTTGGAGAACACAGCTCGAATGCGATCAAGTGAAAGCTCTCCAGTCCTCGATTTCCCACTCCCAAAACTCGTTCTTTCTGCTAGAGCTCCGCCCGAAGCCCATACATGATTTGCAAACTTAGTGTGGATAAGTATGCCTCGTCTCCCTGATTCTGAAGAGGCCGTGAAAGACATTGGAAAGTGTCCAAACGCTACCTTGGCGGAAGAACTGCGTGACTGCTTCTTTTCAAAGCCTTCGAGCAGGGACTCCATTTTCAGGGAGTCTGTCGCCAAACAGATTTGTTGGCCACGCGAAGCCCGATGGCCATGATATCATCAAAACCAAGAAACAAGTACGTCCAGCCACCAGGAACCTATCAGAGAAGAAATAGTTTTCCACTGTAAGTTTCACAAGCAATGATCCAAGTTAACGCACCGTGACAGTTCCCGCTTGAACAGGATCGACCGACACGATTCATATCTGCGCTGATGCTGTACCAAGAAAAGAAGTCCAGTTCGCGATTGGGGACACCAACCCTGTCATGGTTGCCACGAAGATCGAAGAACACACTTTGTGGCAATCGGCTCTCTTTCGATACGTGCTTCATAGTTTTGGTCTCCTCGGGTTCCTTTTGCCTTCTCACAGAGAGTATCTCTGTTCTTGGCAGCTAGA